AGGCATTAATTTTTAAAAAGTGACAACTGCAAAGTGCAGCCAAGTTTTGTTTTTAAGTTTTAGTATAAAATAGCCTAGGAACCATCCTAGACTAGGATGACCATATGTTCCCTCTGAAAAATAGATTTATTTACACACATACACACAAACATATACTCAGTCAATACATCAGTATATATACACACACATATATGCACTCAGCCAATCAGAATGACTTGGAAAGAAATGCTCTAGTTTCCCAAAATATTTTACAATAAAAACTTAAGCCGCATAAACCTTCTTGATCTATATTATACTCAAAAGATTAGAGTTCAAGAGACTTACTATGTTTGATTGTATCCCTCATAAATTTTCTTGTTAAAGGTTTCATTTAAAACGTTAACAACAGCCTGAATTTCCTGGTTTCTATAGAAAGCTTAGAGCCAACCTTTCCCCTCTCACACAAACCACTCTGATTTCCATTTTCACAACAGCTAAGTGTGGATGGCAGCACCCTAGAAATTGCTATTTTCTGGCAGGCTGTCAATCTATCACAATTTTATTTTTCAGAAAAGTAGCTTGAAGAAACTGGCAGCTTCAAATGGAACATTTATACTACATCAATAACTCACCTTTTCAGTTCTGCTCTGTTTACAGGTGAAAACATGACTTTCATCCTAACAGGTTCCACCAAGTACGAGAAATGAAATCAAACCGCCTTCTTTTCTTGCTTAATACACCACCACCCACAAGAATTCTAGATTCTAAGATTAAAACTTCAACTTCAGTAAGCAGAATTCTGATGACACAGAGAAATAACAGGGCACCTTGTTTCAGGCAACGCCAGCAGCATTAAAAACAGTAACAACTGTTTATTTGTTGATTAATTGTTGACCCCAAACCAAGAAGATAATTAACCAAACACTTTCCATCAAACTAATTCTCTGGTCAGAGTACCTGCTCAAGATAATTATGGCTGGCCTCCACTTCACTACTATGAATTGAACAATTAACTTCTCAATTCCATCCTGCCACACCCTCAGATCACAGACTATGTACTTCATGAAGAGTCTAGTTTTCCTGTTGCTGTGATCCTTCACTCAGAGCTCCAGGCTTCTGCACAGAGACCTGCACTTGTCGCCATACTTGTTTACACACCTAAGAATGGCACCTCAGCACAATTCTAGATTTCTGGCATGGGTAAATAAAATACATACAATAAATGAAGTGATAGAACAGACCCATCAAGAAAATATTTATTTGTTCAGATGCCAAAATGTTACCAAAAAAATAATAATTTAAAAAACTTACCAATGCAGCAAGAAAATGGAGGTTGTTATGTATTTTAACATAAAGCAACTTGAAATAATTCTGAAATTGTTGGTAAAATGTAACATTAATAAGGCCAAAAGAAGTTTGAGAGCAGCTAGTAAAATAAAAGTAAATTATAAAGTCACACCTAATATGAAAAGGAAAGAGACAACAGGCTGTCAAAAATAATAAGCATGAAGCTCTGGAAAACATTTGGTAATGGGCTATTTGGCAACATATGAAAAAGAAATTTCTCATGAAAAAGAAATAAGAAATTTCAGAAAGTTGATGACAAGCTCTGCTGAAAAATTCCTAATCTCTACTGGAGATTTTACATAAAAATCAAATCAAATATGTAAAGGATTTCCCCATATATCACAACCAAAGCTTCCACATTGTATTTTTCAAGATTAGACTGACAAACAAACCCTGAGTCAGGGGGCTTTAAAGTAGAGTACATGCCTCCAGGGGGGGGTGCACAAGACAATCTACTGGATGCAGGAAAAAACTATTAGAATTTCTACTCAAGATTTATTTTTATGCCATCCTTAATTTCTGTTTTGTGTTATGTCTTATAGTGTATATAGGACTTTAGTATAGCAGTATATAACAACATATATACATATAAATTTGCAATAGGGTATTTGTGTTCAAAGCCTTTTATTGATCAAGGTGTGTGTTCAAAAAGGTTGGAGACTGCTTTTCTGAAATGCCAGTGAGTGGCTCTCACGTGCATAAATTCACTAGAAACATACAAAACTCCCTTTGAGAACTTTAGAATCATAACACAAGTTCTGAGATCAGGGTGAAACGATGTCATTAGACTAGACATCACACAATGCCAAGTGTGAATGGAATTGAAGTGATAATATCAACAGCCTGCAGTTACAGCTCCAGAATTCCAAGCCTCTGATTTACTGTCTCCTCCAAGCCTACGTGACACACAGTATGGAGAAAACTAAAAATTGTGCCATGTAAATAGATTCAACAGTCAGTGCTGCCTTTTTTGATCTCTAATATAGTATGTAAATCGTTAAGGAATTGTAAGAAAAATCCAGTGTAAAAAAAAAATCTAGTACCCTTTTACTATAGGCTCATGGGCTTATTTTCCCCATCAAAATCTAAAGAAAAAAATTACTGTTACCTGTATTTTAACCACCAAGATGTAGAAAAATTAAACCTATATTTTAACTCAAAGAAGCATAAGGCTGACCTTTTGAGGGTTTCTGGATTCTTCCATCATGTATAAATTTTTAAAAAATCAATGGAAGTTTCCACCTTTGAACACATAAAATATGCCATGAGGAATATTATATCACAAAAGCACTGTGACAAGCCAAAAAGAAAAAATTATTTTAGAAATTATGTGAAAATCCACCCTAGGGTGAAATAAATGCAGTGGTTCGCTGGCTGAGTGTGTGGCTCTGAGCCAACTGTGCGCCCTTCTTCTCAACTCCAAGGTGGTGGCTTAAAATCAGCCACAGAGGGAGTAACTTACATGGTGGGAATCAGCAAATGCTACAATTTAAGGGCTTTTTTTTCCCTTCAGCAAGCCTGGTGGTTAAACATCTCACAGCATACAACTGACTAGATATCGGCCAGAGCAAATGAAAAGTTAAGCTAATCACAGCAGAAGTCGCAAAAACTCACTAAACCTGCTCCCCTATCTTAACTTGGGCTCCTTTGGCCCACCAGCATTCATCCTGGCAAAGTGACTAGTGATGGATACCAGCTACCGCTACCAAATATAAGTCTCTCCAGTGAATACTGATCTTAAGTGGTATGTCACCTTTTGATGCTAAGAAGAACACTGTGGATGTTCAAAAAAATACAAAACAGAGACTTTTCCAGGAAGGAGGTAGTTTACAAATAGAACGATCTGCCTCATACACACTTGCACTATGGTTGCAGTTTCATTTCACTTAAAAAAGTGAACACATACATACACACAAACACACACACCAACTTCCCCAAAATAGTGGATCTCAAAGAGAAAGCAGATCATCATCAACCTCCTAAGGCCCACAGCTCTCAGAGACTTCTGGGAGAGGTTTATAGGCAGAGGACTCACTAAAACTGGTTCCTAGGAAGTTGCTTTGACTGAGTTTTAATGGTGCCCTTAGTTCCAGGCACCCCTGTGCTGAGACGGTTAATTATCAAAGATACTATCTATGAAAACAAACCAATGGCTCTTCTCCTTTGACTCAAAATAAGATACTTTTGTGCTTTCAAAATTTAAAATATCTAGTTAAATCAAGCCATCAATATTTACTTATCTAATGTACAAAATGTGAATTAACCTAATAAAAACTAGTCCAAAGTGCTGCTGAGCAGTCTAATTCCAAAGAGGCATGCAAACGAAATGATTCAATATGGGAAGAAAATCCAGTATGTCTGCTCCCCATCACTACTGAACACTACCTTTCAACACTGCTATTGCACATCTCAGGAACAGAACTTTTCAGCTGATAACCACAAATGAACCAGTAACAGTCTCCAACACTACAAATATAAAGGCAGCTCCCTGAATACTGTCCTTCTGCTACTAATGAACAAGCATAGACATCTTATGCTAGAGTTTCTCCATACTGTATAAAAAACAAAGTGAACTTTATGTATCTGGAAGATGCTGGTTTATAGCAGTGTCACTTTGAGCCCTCAAGTCCTTACTACTCCCTTATTCCATTTACTTCAGGTGGTTAATTATAGGAACTATTTCTAGGGTTAAAAGACTAGTTTAATGGGCAGGGTGGTGGTGGTGGTAGCAGTATATCATCTGATCCTGGACTTTAAAGCCAAGTTTTTCAAAAGACTCAACTGTGATGTTGGTATCAAATCAGTTTAGGGGATCAACAAATCTGTCTGCACCTGGCACTGATTACTATATGGTAATATTTTATAAATTTGGTAGAGATGAAGGCCTAAGTTTTTCACTACTAATATGAATAATCCAATCCCTATGTATGAGCATTGCCAAATGAACTCTGCTCCTTCCTTATAAAAAAAAAAAAAAACTCAAAGAAATAAGCATATCTTTACTTCACTACAGATTTGGAGGCTTCACTTTGCTTTTCATCTTCCTAATTACATTGTTAAAACTATCACAACCTCTAACAACCTTAAATTTAAAGACAAATATACGGTAGAAAATGGGATAAAATGAACAGAGAAAAGGGTCCTTCATGCCGGTACCTTCCAACTGAGAAAAGCCCTACACGTTGTTTCAAGTTATTCAATTGAATCTTTGACTCAGAGATGCCTCAAAATTTCAAACCCCAGGTTCATCTCCCTAAAAGCCATCATTTACCATACTGTATTCCGTGGGTGTATAATCATACCACCTAGAGAGCAGATGACATTTCTGTGCCAGATATGGGGTCCCATGTTCTCACTGGTTGTTCCAAATACTGTTTTAAGTCCCCGGTTTAAAAATCTCCCTACGTGGGAATAAACTAGCTAGCTCCATGCTCTGCTGACAGGTTCAGACAAGATCACACATATGGCTAAGAGATCCACCCTGAATAAATGTAAATAAGGTGCCTTTTTCTGGAGTTGCTTACATACGTTATAGTTCATAGCAAAACAGAATCTACCCAATAGTCCTGCTCCAATCTTACTTTGTGTGAATAGGAATGATTCTTTTTCCTCTGCTGCTTATGCACAACTCAGTATTCAACAGAGCACATTAAAGTCCTAAAGATAATGGCCAATTTCATTTAACTAATATTTCTTTATATAACATGCTCAAAGCATAATTTTTTTCCTGGCCAAAGGGTCCCAATAAGGCAGGAGGAGTAACTTTGTTCTTAATTCTCTTGCAAAGCATAGCCAGCTGCTAAACCCCACCAAAAATTTCTTTAACACAAAGTTCAAAATATTTTTTAAAAAGAAAGAAAAAGAGGGAGGTGGAGTCTGGACTCCAATTAAGGCATTTTTATACACAGTCTAACTTGAGTCCTATTCAAAGGGAATCCTAAAAAAGCATTTTTAATGGAGAATGGCAGAAATCACAATAGTCTATTATCAGCATTGTGATGTATCAATTGCTCACTTTAAATGTAATCATGTTGGGTGTCTTTCTGTTTCTTTATTCCTTGGTTCTCTCATCCCACAAGTGCATAGGTTATGTTTTCTGTAGATCTGGGGAAAATGGGCCAGGGGTGGACGGTCCATCCAGGCCAGACAGAGTGAACGGCCCATGACTGTTCAGCACAGAAGGAAACTGAGAAAGAAAATAAAACACATTATCATCCTATTATGCAACCCTTAATTTCACTTTCTGTCCCTATTATATTCCCTGAGGCAGAACATGACATCCACCTGCAGTGGCTCACAGGACAAAGGCAGTAATTGTTTATCATGGAAGAATATGATGTCACAAAAACTTTTAAAAAATTGTTTGTCTTACATGTTAAATATTAACACCCTCCAGCGTACCTTGACGGAATGGAAAGAACAGACCTATACTTTCCCTCAGATGCTAAGGTACACAGGTTCACACTTGACTTCAAATGAAGGTTTTAGAAAGTTCAGTAAATGACAGCATGCACTACAGAGTATAATTCAATTGTATAGCAAATCACAGACTATCAAAAAGAGGTCCAGAGGAGATGCCCATCTCTTAACTGCTGCAAATAGTTGCAGGGTGCTCATCCTACAAAAGGGCTCCCCATCATGTATTCTGAGACCAAATTTATATGGAGATTCCAGGCTGAAGCTACACGAGCACTATGACTTTCTCTCTTAATTCAATTATCTGTTTGTGAGAGGCAAAGAGAAATGTAAAATGAAATATGGAAAATTCTCAACACCCTATTCAATAATTTATGTTTTTGCAAAAAACAAATTGCAGAAGTAGTAAGATTTTTAATTTTCTTTCTTTTTTTCCCCCTCACCATTCCATTTCCAAAAGAACAAATGAAAATTTAAATTACAAAACCTAAGAAAATCTCCCAGGGAGTCACCCTTGAATAAGTGAATGAATCAACTACAAGAAAGCCTACAAGTTATAAAGTCTAGATGTTCTGGGCAAAGTAATGGTTTAAAGCTGTGAGACCGGGACTTCCCTGGTGGTCCAGTGGTTAAAAATCCACCTTCCAGTGCAGGGCACGAGGGTTCGATCCCTGGTCGGGGAACTAAGATCCCACATGCCGCGGAGCAACTAAGCCCGTGCGCCACAACTAGAGAGCCTAACTCGAGAGAAGCCCATGCGCTGCAACTACTGAGCCCGTGCCCTCTAGAGACCACATGCCACAACCAGAGAAGCCCACACGCCACAACAAAGAGCCCACGTACTGTAACGAAGACCCAGCGCAGACAAAATTAAACAAAAATAAATACCTTAAAAAAAAAAGATTAATAATACCTGCCTTGCAGGGTTTTAATAAATAAATAAATAAAGCAAGCTGTGAGATCTTTCCTAAGATCTTGGTTAAGAGGTAATACAATATTCATTTTAAAAAATATATATATTTAAAATGCTGATGAATATCAATTCTGAATGAGGGGGGAAATGGGAGTATTTGATATACTATTCTCAAGAGTTTTCTCTATTTTTTTAAAATCCTCAGTTAAAAGGGGAAACCCCTCTAAAATATATATATATATATATATATATATATATATATATATATTTTCTTTTTTTAGAAAAGAGGATTTCTAGCATTTAAAATGACCAAAAAAAAATTGGATAGGCTCAAAATCTACTACAGTTTTAAACAATTCTTGGTCTAATTCAAATGTATAGGATAGTAAACAATGAAAAGGAAACTGTCGTGAATATTTATCTGAGTTGTTTGCTGGCCAGAAAATTAACACTTAGAAAGTCAAAAATAAATCTAAGGAATACTTATTAAGTAGAAGTTTTATAATGATTAACTGAAGAGTGGATACTGCCTTTTTGCCTCTTTCTTCATTTACCACACCCAGTTACAGAAGACAAGCTTTTATGTAATTTACCTGGAAAAGTGTGTTAGCACCTTGTAGCCTGGCTGGACTTAGGGGAGCAACAGGGCTGAGAGTACTCCAAAAATGAATACTGGAGAGCAAGGGGCTCGGAGTCAGTAAGATGGGCGTCTGCAATACACAAACCAAAAATATAACTAAATGGCTTATCAGGATTATGTTTACCCTTGTAATACACAAATAGCTCTGAATCCAAATCTCCACTCCAAGTATCTCCAAGTCGGAAATCTTATCATGAGGAAAAACTCAGAAATTACTTTTACAACCCAAGTAAGATAAAGGTCAAAATATTTTCTAACCCGTTTTTGGTAGAATCTTTTTCAAATAGAAAAACAAAACCAATCTGAATTTTGGTATGGAGAAATTATGGGTAACTGAGTCACAAACATATTTTCCCCTTAATAATGTGCAGGTCTAGGAGTAATCTAACTATTTAAATGTTATATGAGATGAGCAAGTTAAGAAATAGCTAATGAAAATAACTGCACAAACTTGTAAGGACCTCAGGATCTGTTGTCTTCTACCTTGAGATTATCACTGTTGTTTTATAAGACCCCCCCCCCCCCC